GTATTATATTGTATTATATTATATTATATTATATTATATTATATTATGTTATATTATATTATATTGTATTGTATTGTATTGTATTGTATTGTATTGTATTGTATTGTATTATATTGTTTTATTTTATGTTATATTGTATTGTATTGTATTATATTGTTTTATTTTATGTTATATTGTATTATATTGTATTATATTGTATTATATTATGTTATATTATATTATATTATATTAAAAGATTATATATGTATAATATAGACTATATAGATTAAATACATTATATTATATTAAAAAGATTTAAACCCCATTTCAATCCTTTCGTACTTACAATTCACTTACATATCTCATTAAAGCAAACTTATCATTGCAAACGTTGCAAGCAGAATCACACCGAAACAGATTGGTCCAAAAAAGAGTCACGCCTGTAAATCATTCGATTCTAAATTAAACACTGTTATCTCGCGAAGGATATTTATAATGGAATAACCGTTCAACTATTCTGAGAATGTTAATAGATAGTCAAGTTTGTTGAGACAGCCTTCAAGAAATTATACTACAACCGTATTGATACTGGCTCTGATCCAGCTGTAACAGGTGATCGAATCGCTCTCGAATTCTCGAAAGTTGAACCGATAAATCTTGTTTTATTGGGAAATCCTTTCATGTGACGTGTGTAACTCGCGCCTAAATTCAAGTCTAACGACTTCGAAAATGGATATTTTCGTAATTTTCGCGTTGATGCGATACACGGCTGTTCGAAAAACACTTTCCATTGCTATTTCTGCCAGTTCTTGGCCCTCAACTCGAGAGCTGTTTAGATAAGAACAATCGTTATTTTCACTTTGGATCGAGAACGATGTTGAATTCGTTCTCTTGGATTTTTGGAATATTATTATTCATCGTTAATTATTTTTTAATCGAAAAATTGTGTGACACTACACAGATTTTTCTGTGTGTTTCTTTTTTCTTTTTTAGAACGTAACCAAAGAAACGGGATTTATTAATAGAAAATTGCTCCATCCGCTAGATACTATATGATAAATTTTGTAATTATAATTTATTTATAATAATAAATTTTATTTTATAATTTTTATATAGTATTATATAATAATTATAATATTATATAAATTATAATTTATAATATTATATAATTTTACCTATTCGAACCTAAACTCCTGTTACACGAACGAAAAATCGCTAGCTGAGTGGTAGATTCCGCATCGTGCAAACTACACATAAATCATAAAATATAAACGAGTTCATTTTGGCGAACACGATGAACCTTGTTTTCACGTCATTAATAAATACATCGCAAGAAGACGATCGTCAAGCTAACAAAAATTGAAAAAGAAAAAAAAAAACTACACACGTTTTCGTCGAACTCGAAACTGCGACCGACATTCAAGGCTGTCTCATTTCATTATCGATTGATAAGCGGGAGGGCTACAAAAATGTACCCCAGTACGCGAAATTCAGAGAAATCCAAACAGCCAAACAGTGATGACACGCAGGGATCGTTTCTTTTTTTTCTTCTTCTTCTTCTTTTTTTTTTTTTTTTTTTGCATCACGATGTATAACAGGTCGAGAGAGGAGGACGCACCTGAATAATGTCCTGGGACAGCGGGGGCTGACGTTTGTCGTGGCAGTGCCTAGCGTGATGTCGTTCCACCTACTATGTACTAGCCTAACGTAGAATTTATCCGCTCCCTCCCCACTTTCCCCCTCGGTTTAGACTTGCCAGCCATACCAGAGCCTGGTTTCCTGGCTTCTGACGACGTTCGGTTCATCCTGTTCACCGAGACTCACATAATTGTCGGAGTTGGCATATCGCGGAAGCAACCAGGGGGGGGGACACGAAAGTGGTTATGCGCATTCCTATCCACCGTGGTGAACGGAGGGTGGAAGGGAGGGGGCGAGGGCCTAGGGTCATCGAGTAGCGATGGGCACAAACGCAAATGTGTTACCGCGAGTGTGATCAAGGGCTGTCTGTTTGTTTTTCTTTTTTTTTTTCTTTCTTTCTTAAAGCCACCCCAACGTGATACTTCACTTTTCAATTCGTAACGAAAAATATGTATATATTTAAAAGTTTTATAATTATATTTATTAAAGTTATATATTTAATAGAATTATAAATTGTAAATATATAATTATATATTTATTAAAGTTTATTAAAATATATATTTGGAAATTTAATTTGTAATTGAAAAACATACATTTGAAAGTTTAACTTATAATCGAAAATTTATAAGTTTCTATTTTTAGGCGCGGAAGACCTGCTGAGAACTATGCAAAACTGCCGAGCAAACAGCAGCAGACTGGTGAAAACTATGATGAAACGGTATAAAATTATGGAAGACGTACGTAAAGACTGCGAGAAATTGCGAAAATTTCAGAGAAACTGCGAAAATCTGCGTAGAACTATAAAAAAAAGAACTGTGGAAACTAAGGAAAATTACATAAAAACCGCGAGAAACTAGCAACAGCAGAAAAAATTGCGGAAGTTTGCAGAAAATTACAGAAATCTTGTGAAAAACTGCGCAGAATTATCGAAACTAAGGAGAGTTACGCAAAATTAAGAGGAACTACGTAAAACTGCCAAAAATTACGTACAACTATGTAAGAACTGCGTAAAATTCCCTAAAAGCACAAAATAATTTTCCTTTTCCTACATTTCATTGAAATTCGAATATTAGAATTGGATGACGAAAAATTGGATGACGAAAAATACTAGAAAAATACTAACGAATATTAGATTATTCGAATACTAAATTCGAATATTAGAATTGGATGACGAAAAATACTAGAACTGGATGACGAAAAATGGGAATCTCAACATTTCGAATACCCATCGCTAGTAATGAAAGGGATAAGGTCGATGGTCCCCTAACGGTTGAATACTTGAATATTGATTAAGCATGCACATCGCGATTACTGGAAGCAAGTAAAAGCGGCGGGCTGCGTGTCCGCGGATATTTATAACAGATGTCTGTCTATCCCTGTCTCTCATCGACCTCGTTCAACCAGGAAGAACTTTGTTCAACTCGAAGAAAAAAAAAAAAAAATGCATAATCAGACGAAAAAGGGCACGAGGTAGCAAGGTTTCATCGTGTGAATTTTTCCGAAAATCTTTCAAGTCCTTTACGATCGACTATTCCCTTTAAATCTAACAACAGCGAAGTAAATTAAGCTGACAGTTCGAACATCCCTTCTAAAAATGTTAAGGAAAAATTTTACTGATAGTTAAAACAGACATATAAATATATATTTCGCGTTATACGATATCATTCGTATTATTTATTTTTTTATTTATTTACCGATATATATTAATTAAATTTCGTACTTCTTTCACGAAAGTTTGTAAAACAGCGGAGAAAATTATTTCCCTGACGATTGAAAATATACTTGTTCTAACTGGCAATGCTCTTTAAATTAATGATGCACTAATGGCGCAGGCGTTTGCAAACGATCATTTTATTTGCCATGGAATTTTATATTTTTCTAACATGCGATGACTTTTTTACGCAATTATGGGAAAATTGCAACGTTTAGAAAGCAAAGTATTACGTTTAATAAATGAAACAAGTTTCCACTCACATTCCATTCCAGTTGCCACACTGGTCGGAGAAACATAAAATTTCACGCCAAACAAAGTGATCATTTGCAAACATTACGATAACCTGACTTCACGCGACTATCTTGTAAATAAATTTCCAATATACGACAAGGAAAAAGTCTCCTATAAAGGGCTTATCAACCGTAGGACTCATTGTTCTGTCGCGGTCTGGCCTACTTGCACACAGTATTTCCCTCCCCATTTCTCTTTCAAACAGGGAATTTAATATCCTTTGTTGCGTTTCTAGACTTCGCGTATCTGACGCACTCTCCATTAACCGCGGCTCTGATCGAGAAACTTGAGAAGATTCGGCCTTTCCCCAGTTGCCTACTTGTGTAAGCTTGTGAAATTGGTACTCGAGATTCGCTGGTTTGGAGTTGTCGTTAAATGTTAAGGGGAGGGGAGGGGAGGGTTAGATGAAGAGCGGAGAACTAGCTCAATGCGAATGAAAACACCCGTCGTCTTCTTTAAGACGCAAGCTCCTCCAGCCCTACAAATCCCAATAAATATATGATTGAATTGAAACCATGGGCGTTCGCATTGTTTCGCTGAAAAGTTGTCAAAAATTCAATTCACGCATATGCAGATGCATAAAATTGACCTCATTTTCTTCATTGGAAGAACACGTTTTCTTCATCAGGAACAATCGTTGGAAGTAGTTCGAATTTATCAAATTGAATTGAATTACGAGTTAGCAAGTGTTGCTTGTGGAATACATGGATCTTCTCCTCGCTCTTCTTTCGATTCAATTGTTTCGATCAACTTGTTGTTCGATCTGGATCTAATTCCCCAATGACGGGCAAGAAATTCGCGAGCCGAGGTTCCAGCTTCACGTAATCATTTCGCCTCTCGAAAAAAAAGCGCGGTAAAACAAAGCGGAAGAGGGAGAAGCACTCGAGATTTTTGAATATTCAGCAGGTACATCCTGGTCGCGACTTCCACCTGACCCTCTTTCCGCAGTGAAAAATCGGCACGTTCTTGCTCGTCTTTCGTCTTTGCGAGGGCCCCGACGAGCCGACATCGATATCAATTTACAATCATGCAGTTAGTCGCCAGACGAAGGCAAAATGATCAACTCGTCTGTAACTTGACCCAGAATCGAAAATTGGAGAGCTGATCGATTCGATCAGTCGATAAAACAGATCCAAATTCCACGAAAACCGCGTCGATTTGTCGGTAAGGTAATCGTTAGTCGGTAACTAGATCACCGACGGTTAGTCGTTACGGTCGGTAAAGAGGTAAGACTGTACTTTCTATACCCTGTTGTCGGTTAGTAAGTGCAACACACTGATCGTGGAATAATCTTTGCGAAATGGAAAAAAGAATAACACCAATGATGAAACAATGGCAACGAGTTAATAAAAAGTAAATAAGATAAAAATTGACTTGCCAGGATAGCTGCAGTCATGTTCGTCGCTCCCATCGTCACACTCCTGAACGAAGTTGCACCTCTGAGACTCCAAGATGCACCTGGACACGTCGCAGGCGAATTCGCCGGGACTGCAGCCTGGAAGATCAATCAATTTCTTACATTTCAATCACCTAGGAACTGGGAGAAAGTGGAGGTGAAGATGATCAAGACCAAGTATATATATATATATATATGCACATTTGGTTGCAAGCATAGTTAATCTATGTACAAGCAATTATCTACGTGATTGGAAGACATGGCGTATACCTGGATGGGGGCAACCGTTCTCGTCATCGCCGTCGTCACAGTCCTTGACGCCGTCACACTGCTGCACAGAGCAGATGTAACGACTTCCGTCGCTACAACGGACCGTGTCGTCGGCGCGACACTTGCTCGATGCTCTCGTGTCGCTTTCTTTCGCGACGGTCGCAACGTTCGTCTGCGTTATCAGGTTCCTCTCGGGTTCTTGGAATTCTTTGTGGACCTCTGTGACGCCCTCGACGTCTGTCGGGTTCGGTGATTGGGGAGAAATGACGTGATACCATGCGGCGGTTAACGTGACCGAGTATAAATTATAAACATAAAAAGAAAGAACAGATATACATATGCGATGGCTGAAGTGACAATTTGTCTATCGGGTTTCCGACGAGAGAATGAGAGCTATGAATAAAGAGGAATAACGAGCATGAATCTGGCATGCAATGATTTAACTACGACGAATTAATTATACAATGGAGCATCCGCCGGAATGAAGTCGAATGATTATAAATATGATTATATTTATATTATAACGCTGTGGAGAGAGCGTCTAAGCGTATTTACAAAACGCTCCATTGATGAATTTTCATTGATACTTACGCGTTGTCGTTTCGGGGCAACCCTCCTCGTCAGAACCATCCTTGCAGTTTGGAACACCGTCGCAGCGTCCTTCTAGCGGCACGCATTCGCCATCTCTACACGTCAACTCGGTCGACTGATCGCACTCTGGCACGTCAATACTTCCCCCGACTAATTGCGTGTTTCGTGTGTGTGTGCGTGTGTAATTGTTGTGCGTCAGGTGGACAAAAGGATGCAACAAAAGAAGACAAAAGAACGAAAATATGAGAACGTACGAGCCTAATTTCAAATACAGCGAAGAGGCATGCAAAACTACATACACGGCTGTTCAAAAACTCTTGGAACACAACAAATAGTCCGACACAACAAATAGTATTTTACATAAGAAAGAAGACCTATGAAATACGTGTAACACGACAATCTTTATTATTATCCAATACTGAATTATCGAATGACTGAAGAGATGAAAAAAGGCTTTCGAACAGTAGCGTGCGTATGAAAATTGAATTGACCGACTCTTCCAAGTAGATCCCCAACATTTAGATAGATCATCCATCTTTATCTCGGGAAGAGATTTCTTTCTTTTCCCGCTATGATCATGTTCAGTTGGTGAATGGTCTTCGAGGAGGAATCGATCATTCCCCACGTCACCGCGGCGAGAACAAGTTACCTTGGGCTCTTCTGAAGAAAAACTCGTCAGGACGTACTTGGACGTTGCCCAACGAGTGGTACTGCAGTTGGTTCTCGATGATGTGCTGCATCTCGGATTCGTCCGCGAACGTCGAACCGATGTCTAGAGTAACTTGTGACGTGAAGCTGTCGGCGGACGTTGGCCTGAACATCAAAGAGGATGTTGTTAGCGCGCCGAGTCACTTTGATTCGGCCTCGCTGTATGCAACTTCTCTACTTCCAAAGAGGATTTCTGCTATTTATTAATTCCCAGACAACTGTCATCCATCTTCTCGATCGAGAAGTTTGAAAGTTTCTCAAAAGATATTAAAACTGAGATGTAAACGTGCGAGTCGTTTCTATTTCCTCCTTTGTAAAAATCCTCTTTACGAAAAAAACCAGAGTAATGATAAAAGAAAGATAAATTGCACGTTGACACTGTGGTGCTTGCCAGTATGGTTGATTAGTATATGCAATGCCATAATTTGGCAAGGATTTAGGTTTCTCGTGAAACCAAAGCTCCTCGAGATTAACTAAAGGAACGGACTACACAGGGGCACACTGTAACATTAGACTCACGATATTTTCACAACGTTGACATGGTGACTTTCATTTGGAATGTCCCGGTTCAGCAGCTCTTCGAGCTGTTGCGTCAGGTTACCACTCAGTTCCTTATACTCTCTGCTACTCCTGTCAGCATATTCTCTCCTGTACGGTTCTCCAACAGTCAACGTTATTCTGTAGTACTCTGCAAAGGGACGTTCGAAGTTATAAACACGAAATTCAGAATATCAACAATATCCGATGAATCGAAAAGGTCTACTACAAAAGTTAGCCTACTTCTTTCTTTTCTGCTAGGTACGTAATGTAGAGGTGTTTTGTCTGCGTCGAATGCGCTGCCTTCGTTTTCTCCGGATCCAGCCAGCTCTTCGTCATCGGTGTTGCCGAAATTCACTGGCTCCTTTCGTGCCTCGGCAGCATTTCCAACCTCGTTGTTCTGTCAATAATTAGAATCTATTAATCTATCGATCTAGAATCATTGGAATATTAGGATCGCCATTAGTTTAAGATCACTAGAATATTAGGATCGCTAAAATATTAAGATCAGTGTTATTTTAGCATATTAAGATCAGTATTAATTTAGGATCACTGGAATATTAGAATCAGTACTAACTTCAGATCACTAGAATATTATAATCACTAGATTATTAGGATCATTATTAATTTAGGATCACTAAAGTATTAGAATCACAATTAATTTCAGGATCAGTATTAACTTAGGATCACTAAAGTATTAGAATCACAATTAATTTCAGTATCAGTATTAATTTAGGATCACTAAAATATTAGAATCACTATTAATTTAGGATCATTAGAATATTAGGATCAGTATTAATTTAAGATGACTAGGATATTAGGAGTATTATCAATCCAGCATGACTAAAATATTAGGGTCACTATTAATTTAGGATAACAAGAATATTAGGATCACTATTAATTTAAGATCATCAGAATATTAGGGCCACTACTAATCTAGGATCACTAAAACATTAAGACCAATATTAATTTAGGATCACTAAAATATTAGGATCCCTAATTAAAGATCACTGGAATATTAGAATCAGTACTAACTTCAGATCACTAGAATATTATAATCACTAGATTATTAGGATCATTATTAATTTAGGATCACTAAAGTATTAGAATCACAATTAATTTCAGGATCAGTATTAACTTAGGATCACTAAAGTATTAGAATCACAATTAATTTCAGTATCAGTATTAATTTAGGATCACTAAAATATTAGAATCACTATTAATTTAGGATCATTAGAATATTAGGATCAGTATTAATTTAAGATGACTAGGATATTAGGAGTATTATTAATCCAGGATGACTAAAATATTAGGGTCACTATTAATCTAGGATGACAAGAATATTAGGATCACTATTAATTTAAGATCATCAGAATATTAGGGCCACTACTAATCTAGGATCACTAAAACATTAAGACCAATATTAATTTAGGATCACTAAAATATTAGGATCACTAATTAAAGATCACTGGAATATTAGAATTAGTACTAATTTCAGATCACTAGAATATTATAATCACTAGATTATTAGGATCATTATTAATTTAGGATCACTAAAGTATTAGAATCACAATTAATTTCAGGATCAATATTAACTTAGGATCACTAAAGTATTAGAATCACAATTAATTTTAGTATCAGTATTAATTTAGGGCCACTAAAATATTAGAATCACTATTAATTTAGGATCATCAGAATATTAGGGCCACTACTAATCTAGGATCACTAAAATATTAAGATCAGTATTAATTTAGGATCATTAAAATATTAAGATCAGTATTAATTTAGGATCACTAAAATATTAGGATCACTGATTTAAGATCACTGATTAAAGATCACTGGAATATTAAGATCAGTACTAACTTAAGACCACTAGAATATTATAATTACTAGATTTCCAGGATCATTATTAATTTAAAATCACCAGAATATTACAATCACTAGATTATTAGGATCAGTATTAATTTAGGATCACTAAAGCATTAAAATCGCAATTAATTTCAGGATCAGTATTAATTTAGGATCACTAAAGTATTAGAATCGCAATTAATTTCAGAGTCAGTATTAATTTAGAATCACTAAAATATTAGAATCACTATTAATTTGAGATCATTAGAATGTTAGGATCAGTATTAATTTAAGGTGACTAGAATATTAGGATTATTATTATTAGGATGACTAAAATATTAGGGTCACTATTAGTCTAGATGTTGTAAGTTAGTGTTCTAACTGAAATTAGGTGTTCTAATCACCATTCGTCTACAAGTCTAAACGTCTTTCATATAATGATATTATTAAAACTATATCCCTAGTACTGATTTAGTGTTTCTGAACACCAACCTCGTCAGCTTCGTCGTATTCCTCCGCACTATTGCGGGTCAATCTTTCTAAATTTGCAGGAGCCTTTACACCAGACGCTTGAGGCCCTTTTTCCCCGTCTGGCTCAATTGGGGGAGCGTTGTTCAGCTCATTGTCCGCGTTGTCGTCCGCAGATTCTGCGAAAGGTTAAATAGAACAATTTCAATAATGATTGATAAAGAAGAATTCACTAGCGTTGTTAGATTTATAATAAGATTTTCTCATTTTCTCATACAACGAAGGTACATGTGCCTCATTTCAATGACAGCGCGTTGAAAAATCTGCCAAATTTAACGAGCCAAATTTCCAAACAAGATGAGAGTATAGTGAGCAGGTTTAGATGCAGCTGACTATTTGATAATTGAGACAAATACATAGAAGAGGCAGTTGACTTATTATGCACGCTCAAACACTACATCTAAACCTACCTTCACTATGTTTTTATCCTTAGATATTGACACATATGAAATATCATACGCTACCTGAAGCCTCGGTAGTAGTGCTTGCCGATTCAGCTGGGCCAAAAAAATCATAGAATCCCCTCTTTATCCTATGAAAGAGGGAGTCATGCTGGCGCGTTTCTATCAGAGGAGCTTCGCCAAAAGACTGCTTGCCATCCTGATCGAAGACCAGATCGTCGTTCTGCAAATAAACGAGCCCGCTTCTAATCTGATTTTTTTTCACAAACCCCGGTAATCCTCGCGAGCGATCAATAAATCTTTCATTTACTCTCTAAATATGACCTCCATCTCTAAAAATAATTCCAGAGTGCACCGGGTGCATCGGGTCGTTGCAAATGAAATTTTCTACGAGACTTTTGACTTTCAGTCTGAAAGTATAATATTAAATTATGGTTCGGTAATTGACGAACGAGATCAATCGTGAAACGAGAATATCCAAAACGATTTAGGTAGCAAGGATTTATGCAAAGGAAAAAGAAAGAAAAGTTCAAACAATTAATCGTGGAGGCTAAACAGAAACTCTAGAAAGAAAGTATTCAAAAAGACCTAACAAACGAGGAACTATAAATTGCACAACGTCACCTCGTTGGAGGAGGAGCTATATATGGAGGATTCAAGAGCGAATCACTTCGTTTGCCCTCGGCAAACAAAAAAAAAGGTTTGTCGAGGATAAAAGGCGAGAAGAGACACGAGCCGTTTATCGTCGACGATTGGGGAATGATGGCGAGGCATTTGTTTGCTTGTTTTAAAGAGTTCGAAGCGTTAAAAAAAAAAAACGAGGAGAGATCGGTGGCAGCCGGTTGTGGTAATATAACGAGTGAGACTCGTCGAAGTGTGCTCGAGTATCGCGCAGTGCGCTCACGTGCCGCTCATAAAGAACCAATTCTCACCTAAACACGCGATATAAATTCAGGATCGGCCGCCCATTCCACCGGCCGTGATTCGCTGGCCAGGATTCGACGTCGCGGGTCAACGACGTCTCCTCTTCTCGAGGAACAACACGCACACGAGGAGAAAAAGAACGAGAAATATATATATATTTATAGGAAGAGAAAGAAAGAGAGGAGCACTTGGTCGAGATAAAGTATCGTTACGCGAGGAAACGACTGACGGAGTTTATGCAACCAGTGTCGATATTATGACGCTACGACACGAATAACAAACCAACGCGGATCTATACGTGACGAATCGAACGAATCCTTCTTTTCCCTGGATAGCTGCATGTAGCACTCCGTTGCTCCTACCAAGATCCAGTTTGAAAAGAGGAATGTAAATGTCTTCCTCCTTTTTTGGAAGTCAAAGATGTGGAGGAGACATTGGACGAAGTTGGGATGAGAGATCGAGCTCTTTAAGTTTGAAAGAAAGTAGCGAGAAGAAGTAGCGTGAAGGAAATTCCCTACTTTGAAATTTACCACGCGAGAAGCGTGTATTTTACTGAGGAACGGATACATATATATCAGATCTACAAAAGATAATATTTCTTCAAATTTGTACACTGTTGAGAACTACCTTTCAGTAAATGAGAAAAAAAAAAAAAAAATGTACGTTCTTCCGACTTTAATCAACAGTGGAAAGGATTAAATCATATGATGGATCTCTATCTTAGTTGTCGATCGTGACATTATAATCATTGTAAAGATTATAAAGAATGAAGGTTACAGGTCATGTCTTGCGTATTTTTCAAGAAAGAAATTTGAGTACTTTCCGCTTTTCTAATTCAACTTATAAGCGTAATAACTATGTCTATACTTATACAAAGCTGTCACTCTGCAGTAATGAAACTCTGTTTATAGGAACTCCATTTGTTTCCAATCAAATTTTAATTGAACACCCGAACTAAATGAACTTTTATTGAAGTTGAATCCACTTGTTCGGATCTAAACTTCTATCGTGTAAAAAAAAATCACTACACTATACTATACTATAGTATATAATATATACCATATTACACGATCTATCATTATCAATTGTACAAACTAATTTCTCCCTGGCGATGTATTCTTTGCTTCGAAACGGACGATTTACACGGATGTTCTACTGTAATTTTAACAAGAGGATTAACGAGCGTCGCTCTCGTGTCATTATCCTCCATGAACCTCTCCCTGTTCCCAGTTACGTAACGCTCCCACACTGGAAGCATCGTCGAACGCGGAAGTCGAATCGTAAGGCTCGATTCAGACAGACGAATTGCTGTGAAAAAATTGTTGCGACGAAATTTCTGTGGATTTATTTGACTAGAGTTGGAAGAAACATCATCTGGCATTGAATTTTTCAACAATGAATACTTAAATTGAACACTAAACTTCCTGGATTTTGAGACAAGAATCCTAGAATCTTAAAACTCGTGATTTTTAAATTCTATATTATTGGACTTAAATGTTAAATTCTTAATTTCCTTTTAAATATATTCTTGAACCTCAAATGCCTGAATAGAAAAACTGGTACGCTAGTACATTTGGAGCTAATCCTTGAATTTTTAATCAGACCCGAATTCTAAATTCCTGGACTCTGGTCCCTCAAATTTTAAATTATTAAATCTATACCTATTGATTCTTGGACTTGAAATATCCGAACTAAAAAATTACTACATCCTAGATGTCTGAATCCTAAATTTTTGAGCCTTGAACTCTCCAACTCCATATTATTGAATCCCAGAACCTTGAACTCTAAATCTTTCAATTCTAAATTACTAAATCCCAAATTTCTGGATCTCAGACTCATGAATATTAAATTACCAGATATATTGCGTTTTGTCACAAGACCATGTCACGTCTAATACTAAGAATCAGATCGACTTACAATTAGATTAAGGCCAAATAAATAAGTGAACAGTGCCCAACGTATAGAATTACAAAGATCGGACCCGAATTCTAAATTCTTGAACTCTGGTCCCTCAAATTTTAAATTATTAAATCTATACCTATTGATTCTTGGACTTGAAATATCCGAACTAAAAAATTACTACATCCTAGATGTCTGAATCCTAAACTTTTGAGCCTTGAACTCTCCAACTCCATATTATTGAATCCCAGAACCTTGAACTCTAAATCTTTCAATTCTAAATTACTAAATCCCAAATTTCTGGATCTCAGACTCATGAATATTAAATTACCAGATACATTGCGTTTTGTCACAAGACCATGTCACGTCTAATACTAAGAATCATATCGACTTACAATTAGATTAGAGCCAAATAAATAAGTGAACAGCGCCCAACGTATAGAATTACAAAGATCGGACCCGAATTCTAAATTCTTGAACTCTGGTCCCGCAAATTTTAAATTATTAAATCTATACCTATTGATTCTTGGACTTGAAATATCCGAACTAAAAAATTACTACATCCTAGATGTCTGAATCCTAAATTTTTGAGCCTTGAACTCTCCAACTCCATATTATTGAATCCCAGAACCTTGAACTCTAAATCCTTCAATTCTAAATTACCAGATCCCAAATTTCTGGATCTCAGACTCATCAATCTTAAACTACCAGATATATTGCGTTTTGTCACAAGACCGTGTCACGTCTAATACTAAGAATCAGATCGACTTACAATTAGATTAAGGCCAAATAAATAAGTGAACAGTGCCCAACGTATAGAATTACAAAGATTTTCAGTATTCGAGCATTACTGAAGCGTAAAGTTTCACTGGTCATTCCCGTCGATGATATTATTCGATACGATCGCGTACAATACGAGATTTCGCGGCGAAATTTGAGCCTACGTTGTACAGGCAGGATGCTGCATGGACGCTTCCGGTCACGTGGTAGAACGCATCCGAGAGCTGCGCTCGCAACGAAACGCGACACTGAAACATTAATCGCGATTAGCGAGATCCGCCAGATGGCCGGTACCCTTTTTTTGGATCACGTTTTTCGACACTGATTCCAGGCGCCGCGGTGGAACGTGTGTTCACGCCACAACAACACAATACCGCGCGCTATTAACGACCAGACAGGAAGTAGGCTGTTTTAACAAACAGCAGCCCCAGGAGTCCAGGTACAAAGAACAATTTACAGAAACTGTGCTCGGAGGCACACAGAGACAGAAGTAAAACAGTCTGGTAGTTTCGGGGAGAATAAACAGTTCGCCACAATGGCATAAATATTTCAACCTCTTTAAATTTCACGAAATCGTGGAGGAGGAGAGACGAATTAAAAGAATTTCTCTCGTGTTTCAGAATTGCGTAACGGAGAGAGTCAAACGAGTCCTTGGAACTGGAACGTAGTCGAACTTGAATTTCGAAAAAAAAAAAGGTGCGTAAATCCTATAAAACAATGAGAGGACATTGCTGCGGCGTCATCTGATTTTCGGCGATCGTAGGGATCGTCGAAAGTGTGCGTTGTAAGTTTAGGTCACGTCGCTGAGATATTATTTTCGTTACGTTTTAAGAATATTAAAAATATTGTAGAAACTTTGTTATGACATTGGATGATGTACATAATCCATGAATACTGAATAAAAAGACACCTATGAATATTGCTTGCGACAGTATTACTCAACGACAAAAATTGTTGGAACACTATGAATATTTCAAGCACAATACGAAATTGAAAATAGAGTATGTAAATACATTATGTGGAAATATTAAATATATATATAGTATAGATATATATATATTTATATATAGTATGGAAATATTAAAAGAATCATTTATTTTGCAGAGAATATTGGATTTATGACTATCTTAAATTCAATGAAACATTTATTGTACTCTCAAGATTGGAATATATATATCGATTATTTCAGCACAGTTACAAGTTTTATAAATAACTATATACATCAAAGAACGTAATAATTTAAAATGAAATCTTTAAACTTACTCCTTTAAGATCGTAATCTTCGCAATGCTACACTTATCAACGCAAACTAAATTTTGTGTGTGTAGTTTCTTACAATTTTGCACGAATTTATAACCGTTTATAAAATAACAAAATAAAAGAAATTGTTTGTTGGCAATTCGGTGAATTGGCACTCGCTTCGTAAAGAATAATCAAACCAAATAATACATATCGATATGATCGAAAAAATAAACTTGTTACACAACCTAATGCCATCTTTTCCCGAAGAAGACCAATAGAGAAAGAGCACGTAGTTGCTTCCATATTTTTATAATCGTAAAAATAAAACCGCGCAAGTAAGCTTGTCTGAAAGTATCGAACACGCAAACAAGATC